CTCCACCCCGGGGACCACTGTCCCCCTGCAGACCCGCCCTCTCCTCCCTGGACAAGGCAGGGCAGAGCCCCCTGCCTCTGACCCTCCCCATCCTAATCTAGGTGCAGTCAGAGTCCAACCGTGAAGCTTCTGTTTCATCCCCAGGAATGAAGGACCAAAGTCCACTCCCCAGGTATGCAGAACGCCCCGAGCGAGTGGATGCCGGCTTTCAAACACACCTTTAACTCCACATGTGTCTTCAAAACGATCACTAAAAGACTGCTGTGTCTTTAAACCGAGCTGACTAAGTGTTACCACCTCCCTGAGCAGGCTGAGGAGCCCCGGAGCTGAACCTCTGCAGCCAGATGTTCTCGGAGACCCAGGTATGGATGCAGCCCTGCAGGGATCTTGCCGGGACCCACACAGCGGCCTGTCGGCAACACGTCTTCAGCACCGGTGCTAGCGAGGGCACGTGGCAGACCGGCACCCCACATGAGCCCCTCCAACATGAGCACAGACGCACACCCAGTCACAGCCATGGCGTGCTCACAGCTGGGCAGCTGGCCCCGAATCAGCCTGATCGCCAAGGAGGGCTTCCCCAAGCTCTCTGACATTTGCAAAGTTTGCTTTACAGGACTCACACTGCACCGTTAGGGATACACACATCACAAAATCACTCACAATCACACTGCATGTGGGTGTGTTCAAGAATGGGAATATGTTTTAATATGTGTATGTAATATGTACATGCAAGTGTGTGTGTTTTCATTTATGTGTATGTATATCATGCATATACTTGTATGTGTGTATGAGAAGATGAGACGTATGTACATGTATGTGTATACCTATTTGTGTATGTGTGTTTAAATGTATGTGTGCAAGTGTACATGTGTTCGAATGTATGTATGTGTTGTAAGTGTATGGGGGTGGGTGTGTATATGAGTGTAGGAGGGAGGTGTCTGTGCGTGTATATATGTAGGTAAGTCTGTATGTAGGTATTGTGTGTATTATGTTTTGGTTTATGCATGTCTATATATGTATGTGTATATATGTCTTCTGTGTTGTTTGTGTGTGTTTAAATGTATGTATGCATATGCAAATGTGTTATTGGGGTATGTGCGCATGTATGTGCAAGTGTGTGTGACAGTTTATATGTGTGTTCATATGTGTGGGTGGTGTGTGAGTGCATGTGTGTGTGTTGTGCAAGTGTGTGTGGGTGCATGTGAGTGCATGTGTACATATGTATGTAAGTTCATATGTGTGAGTGTATGTGCATGTAGGTGTGTGAGTCCATGTGTATGAGTCCATGTGTGTGTGAGTGCACTATGTACATGCATGTGTGAGCACGTGTGGGCATGTGTGAATGCACTATGTACATACATGTGTGTGAGTGCATGTGTGAGCATGTGTGAATGCACTATATACATGTATGTGAGTGCATGTGTGAGCATATGAGTGCACTGTGTACATGCATGTGTGAGTACATGTGTATGTGTGAATGCACTATGTACATGCATGTGTGTGAGTGCATGTGTGAGTAGGTGTGAGTGCACTATGTACATGCATGTGTGAGTGCATGTGTGAGCATGTGT